CCTGTCAGTTTAGTTGAGATGCTTATCCATATGTTTAATGAAACACGTGCTGTACCACATGGGTTTTTTAAGGGGAAAGGCTAAAAATGTGCACAATCAACCCATGTACTGAAGCAGAAGAAAAGCCAGTATCAGTTGCATCTGTAGACTCTGCTCTGAAATATCCTTCAGAATCAGTAATTGCCCCAAAGTTTGACCATGGTTCCATTGCAACTACTATGGTTACAAATGGGACAACAGAGCTTCTCAGGCCTAGTTGCCATTTTTGAATTTTCTATGCAGCAGAAGTTGGGCTCACAAAAACATCAGAAACATGAGGGAAGAAACACCTACATCCATTGTGATGTATTTATTTATATAAACTGCAAGTTAATATGGTTGCATGATGCAAATAAGCTCTATCACTAACGAAAATCCAAAAAATTGGTTACTCCAAGATTTAGAGATAAATGAACAAGTTGACATACTGTCTCAACTCAGTTGATTAGAAGGAAAATGCTGGCAATAGATATCTGACTGTCTACTTCTTATAGTCAGTTGATTTACTTTATTTAAGTAAGAGTTGGCTAGCAGCTTTATCCATCTAGCCCATTGGAACCAGCCCTTTTGCAAGGAGATAATGGTGAAAGGACTTGAGCTTATGTAAGATGGTTATACTTGCTAATCAATAATTTCATTGTAAGGCCAACAGTATTGGCTAATAGCTGGATGTGCTCTATTTCATAGAAGCTATGTATATTGAACAGTCACTGTTGTTTAGAACAAGTGCCTCCTTACAGTAGAGGGCTGTATACATTCACCATTGCTACTGTGAGATGTGGAAAGTGCAGAGAGTTGAAAACATTATATTAAAACAATTTGGTAGCTACATCATGTTGCCATGTCTAATCATGCTCTATCTGATGACTGTGAATCTTGATAATAGCCTTACAGTGTAGTTATTTTATTTTTTAAGGCTTTTTCGTAAGGCTGTCATGTCCAAAGCACAAAACTCCTATCTGCATGCTATTCATGACTGGAAGCCATATCTTGGTGAACCTTATCTTGTTAGCTTTATTTCCCTCTAAAGCCAGTACATTTTTGTAATTTGCCCCTGGTGGAGTATTTAACAATGATCATGAATCTCTTCAAAAACATGTTATGATATTCTGCATACCACTTTTGGAAAAGTTTTGCAACCATTGACCAGTAGAAAATGTAACAAGATTTGTTATAGTTATCAAGGTACACATGCACTTTATCAAGTGTCACCATATTTTTTTTGTTCTTGGTATAGTGGAAGCAACTTCTATGCACTTGATTTTTGTCAATTTTTCCATAATGAGATCTTTTTTAATTATGTTGCGTACTATTACTTGGGACAAATGGATGTCTTTTGCCATTGACCTTTATGTTCATGGATTTGCACCTGTTTCAGAAAGCTACACTTTGCTTACTACAGTTGCCGTGTGACTTGTTGCAGGTCACTTTGTGGATTGTTCTGATGCTTAAAGTTGATTGTATTCCTTGTTTACCAATGCCATTAAGTACAAGGTTTATTTATCCCTATGTGGTAGATTATGAATCTATGATCTGAACACATGTTTGGGATATGAGTGTATGAATATTTTGTGTCAGACAGACTGTTATATATCCTTGCTAAAAGTGATCATTTTTAGTGGTATCACCTATCCTGCTGATTTGGAGTTACTTCCCGATAGGTCATGATGCTTAATCTTAAATTGCTGGCTGAACTTCTGACCTGTCACTGGTTATATTGACTTGAAATTTCAGCTCTGTCTTTTGCTATATAAAGCCATGATTCTTGACTAACTTTTACTTGTAGATAGGCCTGACCTCTACTGTGAAACATGCAAGAACTATGCTATTTGACAACAGGTATATTTGACTCGCTGCTGACTCTGAGATCTTTAACAAGGAAAGCTGAGTTAGTGAAGCTCAAAGAACTACCATTGCCACTTAAACAGAGCCAATTCTAGAGACTATCTACTGTTATGACAGACCTGTAACACTTGCCACAAAAACTGTCATCTCAACTACTGTGTCAACAGTGGAGTTAATGATGCAGATTGCGGGCCCATCAGAGCTAGACAGAAACTAGATAGGTCAAAGTCATCAGTGTCATGTAAATTACATGGCTGTACTAGCTCCCTGTCATATTGAAAGAACATGATGTTATACCTTTAAAATATCCATAGGATACTTATTCCCATAACCACTTAGATCACATATCTTCATGACAAGATGTCAGTACGACTGTTGGTAATAGTTGAGAAGGCTGTGTTTTCTGCAATTCCATGTGATTGAGAGTGAAGCCCACAGCATCTAATAAGGAATGATACTTCTGGTGAAGGTGTGAAATTTGAAAAATGTTGTATATTTCAACTGTACATATCTGCATTTTTTATATTTTTTAATTTTTCCATTTTAGATATTATCTGTACTTCAATTTAGTTTTAGCAGTTCTATAGAGTCAAGTCCCATCCTACATTTATTTCAGTTTATTTTATGATTTGCTAAATTTTGTGTTAAGCACAATTTGTTTCTTTCATATCAAAGTGTATTTTGCTATTTTACTTTGATTTTAATAATGGCTGGAGACGGCTTAAAT